GTGGCTTTCTTTCTACTTCTTTTCTTTCTATCTTTCTTTCTTTCTTTCTTTCTATTTTTTTCATTTCGACGCGACTGCCACGTGGCAGGGCGCCATTCCCTTCCCCCCCCCCATCCCCTCCCCTTTTCTTCTTCTTCTTCTTCTTCTTCTTCTTCTTCTTCTTCTTCTTCTTCTACTACTTCTTTTCTTCTTCTTCTTCTTCTTCTTCTTCTTCTTCTTTTTCTTCTTCTTCTTCAACCCCTGCCTCACCCTACGACTTACTCGGTAGACTACAGCGTGCCATAATAGGGTCAAACGTTACTGAATAACACCATTCTGCCCTGCAGTAGTCAACCTTTCTCTCTCTCTCTCTCTCTCTCTCTCTCTCTCTCTCTCTCTCTCTCTCTCTCTCTCTATTTATCTATCTATCTATCTATCTCTCTGTGTGTGTCTTTCTTTCGGCCTTTCCAGATATCAAGAATGTCGAAAGTCGGAGACAAACGAAAGACAGGAGAAGAGATAGAGTGCGAACGATCACCAGATCCATATGCACCGTGGGGGGGCAAAGATGAAACACAGGCTTTAATCGATGAGAGCTGGGCTGAGATAGTTGAAAAGCAGCAAGAAGTTATAGATAAACTGACAGCTGAAGTAATTGAGCAGAAACAGTTGCTCACCCAGGCGCGAGACGAGATAGCCCGTGTGGAACTTACACTCGCGGAAATGACAGAAACTGCAGAACATAGATTGTATAGCATATTGTGGTTGTTGCTGCCCGATCCGAAGTCTCTTGTGACGGATCTGAGGGAGGGCATGACCAAAGAACTCCAAAAAATAGCTAAGGAGAAGAAGGGCACGTTTGAGGAGTACCAGAATATGGTTTCTGATCTTAAATGTTATTGGAAAAAACTTCTTCTTCACACGGACACTGCATTCGGTGCCAGAACACAAAACGCTTGTGAATGGGATGTCACATGTTGTTCCTCTGCGGACAAATGTATGGTCAGGGAAGGGTGGGCGTCTTACGATAGTGAGGATCTGAACAGCGGTCCGCTGACAGCCTCGTCGAAAAGTCTTGTAGACCTCTTGTCTTTTGCCGATGACTGGATCCGTCATTGCACGGAGACCATAGACCACTACACTCTTAACCATCGCCTGCAGACCGATGATGCACATACGGGATGCGATGACCTTAATGGGAACTTGAGGTCTCTGCTCAACAGCTGCGGTGATATTGTATGTTCTCTTCAGTACACCAGAGATCGCCTGGCATCGGGACAATTGTCTGTAATGCCGAACCCCGTAGAAACCATGAAAACATACAATGTGCAAGTTGCGAATGCAAACCGGGAAGATGATCTCACTATGCGGATGTGCGATTGCAACACAGGTCGAAGTGTCTGTGAGCCAGCGGCACACTTGCTGCTAGACTGCAAAGATATGAAATCCTTTCAATCTCATGAAATTCGACACAATTTCCCTTGCGTCCTCGCAAGCAAAGCACTGTTGACAAGCAATGAAGAGTCAACAGTACCTATGACCACGGAAATATTTGAAAAGTTTGTGTCAAGTGTGAATAAACGACAAATGGCAAGGCTCGTGACGGACTGTATATCCCATCTCATTTCTTTTGCAAAAGAGATGATGTCAAAGGTCGTAGCAAACGCAGATCGTCGTGCGCAGGCCATCGATTGTCAGCATTGCAAGAAAGGACTCCACATCAACGACCGGCTAAGGGCACTCTATAAGAGGTGTAAAATCGTGGCTGAACATTCTCGTTAAAGAAGTTTGATGTACCTCTTTTTTTTTTTTCTTTTTTTTTTTTCTCTCTCTCTCTCTCATATGCATATATGTATACATGGGGGAAGTGTCTGCTTTAATGTCATTATGTCTTGTCGCCAGGTTCGCCTATTCAACCCCTGTCTCAGCCTATAAATGAGTCGGTTGACTACTGCGTGCCATAATACGGTTAAACGTTACTCTATAACGTTGTTCTGGCCCGTGGTAGCCAACCTCTCTCTCTCATATGCATATATGTATACATGTATGAAGTGTCTGCTTTAATGTCATTATGTTCTGGCCTACGAATGAGTCGGTTAACTACTTCGTGCCATATTACGGTTAAACGTTACTCAATAACGTCGTTCTGGCCCGCAGTAGCCA